TTGTGTAGCTTGAGCTGCTTTCATCTTGTTGCTCAGGCATTTCAGTGTTCTCTTAACACTTTTTTACTCTCCTTGCCTTGTGTCTGAAACTAGAGAGAGACCTTATTTTTCTTCCTGGCATTGTGAAATTCTTATTGCACACTTGGAAACAGTAATTTAAGCAAAAGCATAATTAATTTTGTGTTTCAGTGTGGAATACCTCTTTTGAATGAAGGACAAAGAACTTTGTGGGTCATAATTTCGAATCCAATGCTTAGARAGTTCTGAGAGAAATGCAGATAGGAAATTAAGAGTAAAAATACAATATTGACTAAGCCAGTTAAACCTAATAAAAACTTGCAGTATATGTTTGAAGTAGTTTGGACAAGTTTTCAAGGGTTCTCAAGAGAAATCTAGCCATTTTGGATGCGATGCCAGATAGCAAGTGATCCCAGGATTTTCTATAAGAAGGGCAATCTATCTAATTGAAGTCAATCCATTTGGAAGTTGTATTACTTTTGTTAGTAGCAGTTAGAGTATTTTTATTACTTTTCTTGGTGTTGAATTACTTATCATGTTTCTGGAGATTTGGGATACCCTGAAATTCCAAGTATTCCTTTATGGTTATTTCAATAATAGCTTAAAATATAATGTTAATTTTAAAGTAATAGACTTGAGAGCTGATTAAGAATGCATGTGCATTTTCCAAAAATATATGTCATGGTCATTTGTAAAGATTTTAATATTTCAGTATAAAGAACAATTTTTCTTTTCCAAGACATAATATTTTGTTTTTGTGTCTCTCTAGTTTACTGTTTTCTCTGCTACATTAACACTGAGCAAGTTGTAAATGGAATATGTGAAGACAGGGGAGAAAGAATGGCAGTTTGGCCTCTTAACAACTTGTTGAGTATTTTCCTTTGCCAAGGCCATGTCATTTGCACTGCTAGATCTCCACAAGGAGAGAACTTTACAAGCCTTTGCAGCTATACTGGTCAGCTGGTGATTTTCTAAAGGTCCATGTCATTGTCATTGCTGGAGTCCTTTCTCTTCAAATATACGTAATCTTTGAAGAGSAATACAACCTCATTGCTTCTTTTTCTCTTCAAAGTAAATACTTTCTCTGATAAATGAGAAACAGTTCAGGCATGCATAGTCTGAGTGGCAGAGGAATTAATAGAGTGCTTGTGTTAATGGTACTTTTTTTTTTGACATCCTCACTCCACTGGGAGGAAGAACTGAAGTACAATAAATAAGTACCAGAATAAGAAATTCAGTCGAGTCCAATAAAGGCAGGCAAATCATAGTGAAAACACAACTGACACTTTATATAAAGTGTGGAGATAACAAGAAGGAAAGATGTAAGGGCCAAAGGTGGGCAGCTACATTAGAAAAAGACCTTAAAAATGATCTCCTAATCTATGCATCAGCATACTGAATCATGATGTTCAACATATATCCTTCTGGCAGGGTGTTTGGAGGAAAGTGCTGTTAAATCATCTACATAGTTACACCTTTCTGTTTAACTGATAATATGTGAAAGCAAGGGGTGTTTCTCTTAAAATAGTCTTGAAAATAACCTGTATTTATAAAGAGATCACTTTGATGGTGATATGAGTGATAAATCAGGGGAATTTCACATTTTGAAACTAATGCTTTGTTAGATAAATTCATTAATAACATTCTTTGTCCTAGTGGTCAGTTCTTACATCTTATACATAATTGGTACATAAATAAAGCTGTTAGTCTTTAGCAGTCATATTCTAAAAGTGCTATGGGTATTCAAAAGCACAGATGTGCTGCAATATTGTTAGTACTGATGGCTATGATCCCGAGGACTTCTTAATTGCAAATGTCAAATTAATCAGCCCTGACAGATCTTAGATGAATGAAGTGAGTTAATAATCTTCTCTGATTTTATCCTTGCTTTAAACTGAAGTTTTTATACGGCTTAATTGCTTACATGAAGGGGGTCTCCTCTGCCTCTGATGTTGCCCAACTCATACAATTTTTTCTTGCTGGGTATGTGTCCCTGTGCATTTGGGAAGCTGCCCTGACTATTTGCAGTTCCTTGTGCTTCCTCTGTCTGGTATATTTTGTTCCCTTGGATGCCACCTGTTTGAAACGTCAACCATTTTTCTCTGTGTCATTGGTGACCACACTATTATATGTGTGATGTATGAGATTACATGTATGAGGTTACGTGTATGAGGTTGTGTCTGGTTATACCATCTTAGTATGGTAAAATAATTATGTGCTATTCCTAATTACACCACTGTAGTACACTTATATCAAGTTAGTAGTTGAAACTTCACATATGAACAGAGTTAAAGAAATAAWTATATGACTACTTTAGATGGGTTTCATGTGAAAACTGTTTTTGAAGAATGTGAGGAGTTGAACTCCTTGGACACAAGATTGAATTCAAAGATTGCAAGGAAAGATGGGACAACAGAGGAGGTGAGAGGACCAAGATAATGATTCTGTATTAGAATCTGAACTGTAGCTGAAATTCCAGATGTGTGCACCCGCACAGTGGTTTATGAGGCTCATCACACTGTCAGGATAACAGAAATGAGAAAGTAAACTTTTTCTCTACAGGCACAATCACTCATCTCTAGTATTTTCATGACATGCTATATTGTACTTTCTTATGCAGCCCTTGTATGATCTGAGTAATAAAGGATGATGGTTTCTGGAGAAATTATAATCTATCAATGTATTTATTGATCACTTCTGCCTGATCTTACTGTAGTATCTCAGTTTTAATGTGGTGTTCACATCATTTCCTTTTGTCTCAGAACACTGTGACACAGATGGCCAGAACCTGCCACATTTTAGGAGCAGACCGATTCTTTCATGCTACCAAATGTGAAATATGTCCAGATATTTTAACAGCTTTGCAGTATCATAGAACATAAACACTATTTCTGTCCCTACAGAGGGACTAAAGCACTAAAGACACTGCTTTAGTGGCTCTATTTTAAGAGGTGATTATTCATCCCTAGATACCTACAAGAAACATACTTTTTGTTATGCTACATCAGGTTTTCTGTTTAAAACTGTTTGTATGTGAAAGAATTTATTTCATACAGCCACAGTGAAAATGAAAAAGCAGAGTGTGGACATAAAACATAGCGTACAGCTCTGCAATCCATAATTCAGTCTGATGCTGGCCAGAAGTTGTCTGGGGAAATAAACTTTGTTAGTTACATGGTGTAGGCCACTTCTTGGTGTAGAATTATCAACAACTTGAATTAGAAGATCTAACAATGATTGTTTGGGAATTTTTATTGAAGAAAAGGGGGAAGATGTCAATGCTGATGAAGCTTTTTTTTTTTTTTTTAAATACACTGATTTTTTTCAGAAGTACTGACATTACCTTCTTTATTGTTTGCCTCCACACCCACCCACTTCAGTATTTTAGTCTATGTATTAGTAGCAAAGAGTTGTATGAACGAAGAATTACTTTCCATTTTATTACAATAATGAAGTTTTCTTTTTCCTTGGAAAATCCAAATATTTTTCAAATTAGTTGGACAAAACCTGAGTTAATATTTTTCCCAATCTGAAGTCTGGATAAAAAGGCTTTGAAATACTCAGGKGTGTAATAATAAATGTTTGCTTCCTGTCTTGTGACATAAGCCAGAGTTCACAGCTGTCTTTCAGGACAAGGGTAGCTAGCATACTAGCACCAGCTTTATATATTCTTTAATTGAGAAGGAACAGTATCTTAATTGATGCCATTATTTTAGTAAATTCAGTTTGTTAATCATAAAAATATTATCTGTGAGCAGGCCTTCATTTTTTTCTCTTTGTCTCTTTTCTTTATCTTTTATTTCATTTTAGTTTTATTTATTCAGTGCAAATTCAAGATTTGTGTTAACAGTCAACGTGACAACAGCTTCCTCATAAAACCAGTAACATGCACAAAACTGTAAATTCCTTTAAATTACTTTTCTGGAGATATACTCCTGTCRCAGATAGATAATCAGTAATTCTGTCTTTTGAAATATCCAGTTTCCCAGGAAATTATCTTCTGCAAAAAATTCAGAGATCAGCCCACTATTTTGCATCCCAGTAATAAGCAGCCATAGAAAAAATAATCAAAAAGTAATAGATGAATTTTTTTCACCCCCTTATGTTTTAACCAGAATTGGCCTGGTTAATCTCTTTTGAAACAGTGGATATTTTATTTTTTCCATTTGGGCCTGTGCTTAACCAGAATAAACAACCAAAACAAAACAAAAAAGTATTAGACAATGTAAATATATAAATATAAATTTTAGACAAAATATAAAAATAAAATTGACAGCATGTGTTTCAAATTATGTGATGTTTCTAATTTCTCAGGAGATAAAAAGGTATTTTCTTTCCATTCACTTGATTGATTAAGTAATAAGATAATAGGGAAATATAAAAGAGAAATCTGAACCTGTACAATTAGGCTGTAAAACTGGTAAGAAAAACTCTGACTTTTTCCTGTATAATGGCAAAATATTGTGCAGTTTTGTTTCCAGCTTTGTGTGGCCTGAGGTACATGTTTAGGCATGCAGAGATTGAAAGCCTGCTATTTTGCCAGCAATCAAAACTATGACATTTGAAGTAAGGATCATATAGTATACAGAGTGAGTAATTGAATATTGGAATAGATCTCCTTCCTTTAAGGAATTCTATAGCTGCTTTTAGAAGAAGTTTTGCCCTTTTGAGGTCTCTAAAGCATCATAATTTTGGGCTCTTGATTTCACTTGTGAAGGTATAGAATATACAGAAGAAATAAGGCCCTGCAAAAATAGTTCATTTTTTTTAATCCCCTGTGCAAAGCAATAGCTAAATGATGCTATGTGAGAGGCTATCATTCCTTTAGTGTGACACATGTAACAGATTCACAGCTTTCCTTTATATGAGCAATGTGGCCAGACTAATTCAAGGATGAGAAAACCTTTATATCATGCTACATAAGCGAAAGCCCTCACTTAGTCATGCTGCTAAAGGTATTGAAAAGGGAAGAAGATAAGTAGCATGCTCCTCATTACCAGCTCCCACTACATTTTTCACAGACTCCACTTAACTGTATTATGTCACTATATCTAAGTAGCTTATCCAAGCAATAAGCTATGCTTCCAAGCCAGATGTCTTCAAGCAGGAGAAATTTTTACCTACAGTTATCCATTAAGAATCCCTTTTACTGCAAAAGCATACTCACCCTGCTGCTAGCTCAGCAGGTAGCTAAGCAGAGCTCTAGGGCTTCGCACACTTCCCAACAGCAGACTTTCCTAGAGACTCAAAGATAATACGTCTTTTCCTTTTCCAGTAAGAMGAAGAGAATATTGATTCCCTTCGTTCTTTGTCACTTGTAGGTTTGCATACTTGAAGCTTGGTACTGAAGTTCTAGTTTCATTTATAGCATCTATTTGTAAGGCTTTTCCTCCTTTCATTAAATGTCTCTATGCCATTTGTAATTTTTTCAAACCATACAGATCATACTTAACCTCAATTTGTCTGCATTTGCCTCTTTCATTTATTATGCTTTCCTTCCTCTTCATTATTCTCTTTTTCTTTCATTGCCCAACCCAATTTCCTCGAGTGAATTCCTCTTCTCATTTAGTACATTGTCTAATCTGTACAACATCTTTAGCACAGTTTAACCATCTCCCAAGACATGAAACCAAAGTGATAGATGGTCTTCTGCCTTCATTACTGATGTCAGCTTTGAGTGCATTCTATGTAATATCAAATTTCATATGGTACATGCTGCTTTTTTCACTGAAATATTCCTTGCTCATTTTGTGTTCAATATAATAAACTTTTTTCATAAATACTAAAAGTGATGGAACACAAATAGAATGAGAGTATTGCCTTATTTTTCAGTTTACTCATTTGTTTCAAAATGTTGTTTAGAACTGATGTAACCAAATACAATGATAAAATTTTCTCTCCCATCCATGTTGCGGAAGTGTGGAAAAGGCTGTATTTCTGAAAATTCTCCTGTGATTTTGAATTAAAGCACTCAGTTGCTGGCATGTGTGTGACAGTAAGTGTTAAATGTGTTGCCTAATTATTCCTTCTTTTCTGTGTTAAAAATGCAATGGATTTGAAAATGCATTAGTGTGAAAACACAGTGCAAAAGGTCTGTTCTGTAAAAGTCTTACTAGTCAATTCTCACTCTCCTTCAGAGGACAGTTAGATTAGTAAGCTATACATAGAATCCTAAGTCGTACTATTTCTTTGCTAGTTGAACTCATAGGTACCTTTATTGCATGCTGAATTTTCAACTGTTGTACTTAGTGTACTAATAGTTTCTTTTGTTTTATTTCTGTATGATATATAATTCGCCACAAACTCCTTACTCTGTTATTTTCTTACATATAATAAACCATAATTCAGTTAATGTTAGACCTAATTGGCTATTATTAAAAGAACTAGAAAAYGAGACTGAGTCCTGGGGTGCTGTCGGAGCGGTCATTTGCTGAGAGACGGGAGAGATACAGAAACGACYGCGTAGATGTGGTTGAATGTGCAATCTCTCCAAACTTTATTGTGCGATCTGGGGGTTTTTAYACCCCTRGTTCCTAACGGTGACGGCGGTTAAACGTAACGCTTCTTGTAACAGGGATAACGGTAACTTAACRTTCACAAACCCTTACYAACGACATATAATTCCTTATATGGCAGTTCTGCCGTTGCAGGAGGCGCGTGCTGACTCCCCTTGCCATAGAGTTRCATTRGTGGTTCTCACGGCCATGAGGGTACTCGAGACAGGCSCCACTGGAACCGTTACAGCACCTGCCAGCTGCTGGCCAACCGTTCAGACTGTTCCAGAATATTCACGGGTCTTCTCTCCCCTGACCAGGCCCAGGCCTTAGATTGGCCTACCACATCTCCCCTGTTTTTCTTTAAAAAAGGCAAAGAAGGAAGGGTCAAGTCAGCCTGAAAAACCTGCGAGAGCAAAACTGTAAAACATATCAGAAGGCAAAACTATATACATATAACAACAATAAAAACTCTATATATGGCAACAATAACAAGAGTAACAAGAATAGAATAACAACAACAGGAATAAACAACAAGATAAGCAACAAGAACAGAACAACAAAACAGCTTAACAAAACAGTTTGACACTTTGTCGGGTTTATCGACAGCCTTTCTTCATCTATTTCTTCTGCTAGTCCTTTAACAAATCCRGTAGATCTCGTGGGCAAATGGGAATACCAGTGGCATCCTCTTCCTTCAAACTCAACTCAGATTTGTCTCMAGCTCTCCCAAATCAGAGCCAACCAATCCAGTGACAGAGGTGTAGGTAGCCAAATTGGAAATTGATAAGCAGCAGTCACCAAATGATTTCTCTTTAGAGGCATGTGCTTGTAGGAACACAAAACCAGAGAGGTATAGGTTTGCTTTTAGGCTGCCATATGGGCATAGATGTACCCAAACCAACATGGAAAGCTATTTCCAAGCCCTCTCTACTGTTAGAATAAGGATTTCTGTAAGTTCAAAGGCTCTATCAACCCCTCCACTATAGGACCTGTAGACTTCTGTTGGTCCTGACCACAATGTTTTAAGGTTCTGTTTATTTTAAGTTTCAAGATCAAGCTTATGTCATCAACGAGTTCATATTCCCCTTTTTAAAGTGGAATTTTGATCTTGTATTTGGGAACTGGTTATACAATGTGAAATACACTCTCTAAAATAGATTAGTTTAAACTATATTATAGAAATTATCAATTATGAAAAATCCTGATCATTAGATTCCTTCCTTTATCAGGTAAACATTAAATTTCATGACAGCATGAAGAACACTGTCACTAAGACAACTAGCAACTAAGAGTTGTTAGCTCCATTCAGGTAATTTTGTCCTTAAAAAGAATTCCTCTCTTGAGTAAAATCTGTGTGTTTTGATAGAGACAAACGGCCAAACTCTATCCCTATAAACAAATGGTGTTTTTTTAAGTGTCAATATTACTGCAAGATAATTCAAGGCCCTTGTGTACGAAGAGGGCAAGTTAGAAAATTGTGCTTGGCACAGTCAGGGAAGAGGATTCCCTCTTTACTGAAGCAAAGTGGCATCAGTACTTCCAAGCAGGTGGTCAGATAAGTGATTTTTTGTAGCTCRACATATATTCCCACTCTGAGTCTTGCAAAAGACTCTGAGTCAGGCAAAGACAAACAAGCAATTTGAAAGAACACAAAATTACTTCTCATAAAGAGAATATTTGGAAAGATGTTTCTGTCATGCAAATTTTTAGTGTTTCTGATTACAATGGTGCCAATGTCACCTCTTGAAACCAGAACACATTTTTACCCATGCATTTTAAGGGTTGTCCYACCATCATCAATGAAAATGTCAATATAGGAGATATCAGTCCTTCAACAGAAAATTTAAAGTTCTCTGCAAATCATAAATTAAACTATGTTGTATGGTAAGGAGGGCAAGGTCAATGGTGTCCTCTTCGCGATCCTCACATGGTGCTGCTCCGCTGGGTGTAGGCTCGGGTGTTCCAGTCACCGCCACCTTGGTCCCTTTCGCTGACATCCAAAGGAGCCCTGTGGGAAAAGAAACACAAAGACATTCCCAACCCGAGTACAACACTCTTGCTGGCACCTGCCAAAGGCCTGTTTTTGGATCCTGGCATCTCAGTGAGTAAGGCAGATAGTGAGTAAGGCATCTCAGTGAGTAAGGCACCTCCATGCACCCAGGAGCTCAAAGGCACATTTTCCTAAAGGTCTGCAGGATCTTAGGGGTATAGGCAGACGTGACCTCTTGGGCATGAAAACAGAGACAGCTTCATCTGTTTTAGCAAAAGAAAGGCTTTCCAGGTGTTCACCCTTTTTATACACCTCTTCTTGCTGATTTTCTGCTTCTGCATCCAATCTTGAATATTTTGACTTCTCCTCTGAGGCTCCTTGTTCTTGCCTGGTAGCTTCCCGCACAGATGTTCTACCCTCTTTTAGAAGAGATGTGAGTGAGTTCTTTTCTGCTTTATGTTCATCCATTCCTGTTCTGTCCTAGTGTCCGTCTTTGCATAAACTCTCTGAATAGTCCAATGGAGTTATCTGCTTATCCACCTCTCCAGGAAAATTCAAAGATACCTGAAGGCTTAAATGGTGTTGCTCTCCCAAGCAGATACTCATATAAGGTGTTTGATCTTCACAGAAAGAGAGCGTCTCATCTTGGTGGCTTTTCATGTCCTTAACCTGATCTCGTAAGATCTTCTGGAATTCGTTACCTAAAATGTCTTCTTCCAGTTGTTTTCTTAACATGAGAATATTGTTCAGTCCCTTTTCTTCATTAGCTCTCAGATGGGTCTTGTATTTATTCTGGAGCTCCTGCAGTTCTGCATCCTTTTCTTTAACTGCTCCATTAGCTTTCTCAAGCTGAAGGTCCTTGTGATTGACACTGTCTGTTAGCTGCCTGATAACAAGTTCTTGGCTTTGCAGCTTCTGACTGCTTTCACTCAAAAGGATATTGTAATGGTGTTCGACTGCTCTTTCTTTTTCAGTCATTTCACCATGTAATTTCTCTAGTTGGTTTATAAGGTCATTAATGGTTTCACTTAGCTTCTGTCCAGTGACATTAATAATCTTCTGCAGTCTGTGATTCTCAGCGTCTTTAGTGAACTTCTCTGRGCGCAGCTCTGCTAGCAGGGTTTGAAAATCCGCAGCATCCTTGCGCAGGTCGCTCTCGAAGTGATACGATGTATCAGCGAGGTACTTGGCGCCGAAGCTCACGCTGGCATTCTGTCTCCATGGTGACGATACGTCCCGCGTAGGCAAATACTGCAGCGGTGGCACGTTCTGCGTTCTGCTCTGCGTCTGTTAGACGCTGCGTCTTAGCAACTGGTTCGGCCCGCCCCGCTTCCTCCTGGGGGGCGAGGTGTGGCTGTAGAGTGACGGCAGCTGCTGCCTGTTTCGGAGCGCGGTTGCTGCAGCGGCTCGGGGCGCCCGTCCTGAAGCCTCCCATCGCCGATGGCATGCTCTAGTGTTGTGGGAGTTGGACCGACACTTATGGTACCATAATTTTAAAACGTGGCAGTTGCGGCGCAGGTGACCAAGCAGTCCGCAGCGATAACATCTCATCCGATGACCGATTGGAGCTCTGGAATTAGACTTTACAGAGGCTTGAAAAGCGATTAGAGCAGCTATGATCTGATTTTGGCTAGCCTGTGCCTGTTCTCTTATCCCTGCTCGTAACTCCCTAATAGCTTCAACTAACATAGCCTGTGGCCCCGCCGGAATGATAGCAACACGCTCGAGAGCTTCCTTGATCGTCCAATATGCATTTAAAGTGCTTAGCACACTTCTAGTAGTAGAATTACAGTTCTGTAGTGCGCACTGTTTAAGCATTACGGTATTTAGGTAGTCAGGGACTCCAGCTTTCCGGATAGCAGTGGCAACTTTATCTATAAAGCTACCGAAAGCTTAATCCCACCCRTTTTATTCCCATAAATGATGGAATGCGTCCTGGCTCTTTTATTTTATTGATAGCCATTCTTGCCAGGCGCATAGATTCTCTACACTTCTCAGGGCCCATCCGAACCTGTGCCTCAGTACGCAAATATGGCCCTTGACCCAGCAGCTCATCCAGAGCTACCCCCTGGAGCGGATCTCCCGGGGCCCGGGGGGTCATAACAGATTGTTGGCTTTAAGCCTGCCAATGCGCATTAAATAAAAGCTGATGATGCTGTGTAAAAACAAGTTTGGAAATACCTTTACAATCTGCTGGCAACAGAAGCTGTGTCCCCCACAGGTTGTCTAGCATCTGTTTAACTGGTTCGCTAGTGACTCCGTATTGACTGACTGTAGCACGAAGCTGCGCGAAGATTTTCCAATCCAGAGCAGTAATAGTTGCGTCTATTTCACCCTGCGGCGTTGGGTTAAACACTACTGGACATGCAAGATCTTTCACCGCTTCTAGGCCCTCTGCGTCTCCGCAGCTTACGCACTCTTGCGCAATAGCAGCCCACATGTCCCTTCTCTTCCGGGTGACGACCCTGGCCGGGTCACCTTCCGGCCTAGGGCCTCCCAGGCCGCCCCGCGCAGTTCCCTCTGCCGGGTCACTTCCTGCCCCACCACCACAACATGGCGGCGGCCACGCCGGTGGCAGCATGGATGGTGTGGACGGCCACGTGGGTCTCCCTTCCCCAGGTACAGGGTTAGGCCCTTTAGTCCCTGGGTCAGCAGATGGTGGTAGGCTAATGGAGCACGCTGTGGGGGGTAGGGGACAGCCGGAATAACTAGAAGTAGTTTCTAAGTTCCCGCCCTGCACGGTATTGATCTGGCAGGCTGCCTTCCTCTTATCCCAGTACCGGACTAGTTCACTCATCACTACAGTATACAACCTTCCCATCCTTTCTGCTGTCCCATTATCTCCCGATAAAGCGTCCCATATCTTATCTGAGAATTTTCTCCATTCAGCTGCTTTAAATACAGTAGCCGGATCTCGGAAACAACCCTGATTCTGAGCATAATTTATTAACTCTTGAATCTCCTTATAAAGATTTATCCCCCTAATCTGTCGCTTTTCTAAAAAGCATATGAGTGAATGAGCTGCTTGCCTTTCCATCCCGATCCTTTCCAGCGCGCTGTACAGCCTTCCAAAAGGTTCCGGCGGTGAATGTTGTCGGCCGGATGCTTCCTTCTGAGTCACCCGGGTCACGGTACCGGTAAATATCCCGCCAGCACTTTTGACATCTCGCTGCAGAGACCCGAACTCCTTAAAAATCAGTCAGCTGAGCCTTCCTGTAAAGCACTCAGGGCACGGTGCCATGACTATGTCCTTCTGGCACTTTTGCCATCCCGATTTCTCCGGGGCCTGACTGCTTTACGTCCCCCAGCCGTGGCCTTCCGGTATCACGACCTGCGTGTCTGCYGTCCCGACCCACTTTGGTGCCGTTCCGATCACGTTGGTGTTTACCAATTTGTTGGAGTGGTCATTTGCTGAGAGACGGGAGAGATACAGAAACGACCGCGTAGACGTGGTTGAACGTGCAATCTCTTCAAACTTTATTGTGCGATCTGGGGGTTTTTATACCCCTAGTTCCTAACGGTGACGGCAGTTAAACGTAACGCTTCTTGTAACAGGGATAACGGTAACTTAACGTTCACAAACCCTTACTAACGACATATAATTCCTTATATGGCAGTTCTGCCGTTGCAGGAGGTGTGTACTGACTCCCCTTGCCATATAGTTGCATTAGTGGTTCTCACGGCCATGAGGGTACTCGAGACAGGCCCCCCTGGAACCGTTACAGCACCTGCCAGCTGCTGGCCAACCATTCAGACTGTTCCAGAATATTCACGGGTCTTCTCTCCCCTGACCAGGCCCAGGCCTTAGATTGGCCTACCACMGGGTGCTGGTCATCCTGATAAGCTAACTGCTGATTGCCAAAGGCCTAGGCAAAACCTAAAAATCTATCTAAGCTCCCATCTCCATTTGTAACATTTTGGTGCAGAGAGCAGGGCAATGACAAGTGATTTGAAAACGCAGAGTAAGGATTTCGCAAATTGTTTATGGTGGCACAGTGTTCTATTGAGACGAATGATCCCTGACCCACAGATAACTTGTGTCAGTGGGGAAAAATAAGAGAGAAAATAAATGGAAGATGGGGATCATTGAAAGATATAAAAGGAAGGGAAATTATCTGTCAAACTGTAGCTCTGTTTTTGCACTCTGCTTGGGAATGGAGAGAACAGCTGATTCAAGAAAATGACAAATTAATGAATGAAATAAAGAGGTTAAAACAAGAACTAAAAGAATCCAAAGAACCAACAAAACTCTTGGAAGAAAAAATTGGAATTAACACCATCAAAAAACCTCAAATCTGTGGTTGTTAAAGAAATTCCAGAGTTGATAATACTACCTGAAGATGAGAATAATAATATTCAAAAAAACTCTAATGAAACTAATAATTCTAATGTTGAATTAAATTCTAACAAAAGCACAAAAACCCTATCTCCTGAGAAGGGAAAAATTCTGTAGAAGGATCTGTTAGGTGAATCTCTGTTAGACAGGTTTTTGTGGGAACGAGGTCATGAATTGCTCTTACTGAGCAACCCAGACTACAAGATAGAGCAGAATGAGATAGAAGAGGATGGGAAAGAGGAGGACGTGACTACAGCAGTGTAACACGTACCTCAAGCTGACCATGAAGAAGAAACATAGTAAGAAGCAAGAACAAAGAGCAATTGAAGAACAATAGGAC